GTGTTTTTCGAGCTCGGCGATTTTCGTTTGTGAAAAAAAATGGATCAAAGAATTTGTATTAAATTTTGCGTAAAAAATGAAATAAAGTGTAGTAAAGTTTGTCAAATGTTAACAAAGGCATATAGTGAGTCTGCTATGAGTAAAGCAAGGATTTATGAGTGGTATAAGCGTTTCCAAGATGGCCACGAAAACGTTGAAAATGACGAACGACCCGGACGCCCAAGCACATCAACAACCGATGAAAACGTGAAAAAAGTGAAAGAAATGGTTATGAACGATCGCCGAATCACAATCAGAAAAGTCGCTGATGATGTTGGCATATCAGTTGGCTCATGCCATCAAATTTGTTCGAATGTTTTGGGTATGAAACGTGTGGCAGCAAAATTCGTTCCAAAATTGTTGAATTTCGAACAAAAACAGCGGCGAATGGAAGTTGCTCAGGAGTCGCTAAATGAAGTCAATAACGATGCAGAACTACTAAAACGTGTTATAACAGGTGACGAAACATGGGTTTACGGATATGATGTCGAAACTAAGGCTCAATCGTCCCAGTGGAGGCATTCTGGATCGCCAAGACCGAAAAAGGCTCGACAAGTGCGGTCGAATGTGAAGGTTATGCTCACTGTGTTCTTCGATTTTAATGGCATAGTGCATTATGAATTCTTGCCACAAGGTCAAACAATCAATAAGCAGTACTACCTACAAGTTCAACGTCGTTTGCGTGAAGCAATCCGAAAAAAAACGCCCGGATTTGTGGCAAAACAATTCATGGCTTTTGCACCACGATAATGCGCCTGCTCACACTCCATTGCTTGTTCGTGAATTTTTGGCCAAAAACGAAACTGTAACGATGCCTCAGCCTCCATATTCGCCAGATATGGCTCCATGTGACTTTTTTCTATTTCCAAAAATAAAGAGAACATTAAAAGGCCGTCGTTTTACAAGCATAGATGACATTAAAAGCGAATCGCTGAAAGAGCTAAAAGCTATTACAAAGATCGAGTTTCAAAAGTGTTTCGAGGATTGGAAAAAGCGTTGGCATAAGTGTATTGTATCCGAAGGGGACTACTTTGAAGACGACAACATTAATGTAGATGAATAAATAAATATTTTTTTCATAAAACGAAAATTCTCGTTATTTTTTGAACACACCTTGTATAATCGAAAAGTAGTGTAAGTTACGCAGCAATAAAAGATTAATATATATAGTTATAAGTATTTGTAAGAACATTTTTTAGATAATTTCTTAATAGACTTTTTCTTATATTTTCTGCATAACATGACCATAAATCCAAAAAATCTATTAAAGTTACTAGCGATAACTTTAGTAGTCTACTAAGGATTTAGTTGTCCCGAATATGAAATTTAATCGATTATTTCTGCAGAAAAAAGAGAATTTTCATCACAACTTGAATCTTTATTAAAATATGCAATAAATGCTAATGTGTTTGTTGAAAATTATAAAACCTTGAATTCTTAAGAGTCAAGTGTGCTTCCATTGATTTTACTGTCTTTGCCTTCTTTGAGGCTGGTTCTCCTACGGTAATCTATTGTTTGAACTGTTTTTTGGTTTCAGGAGTGTAGTGGTGTACCCATATTTCATCTACAGTCACGAGTCAACGCCAAAAGTCTTACGGATTACGACGTATGCGTGCCAAAAGAGCCTCAGATGTGCCCACGTGGGTTCGTTTATTTTCAACAGTGAGCAAACGCGGCACCCATCTTGCTGATATTTTTTTCATCCACAATTTTTCATGCAAAATTGAAATGATTGTACCCTTTGATACCCCTATGGCCTTAACTAATTCTCGCAATTTTAATTTTCTATCACTCAACACCATATCGTGGATTTTGTTGACCATTTCGGGCGTACGCACTTTTACGGGGTGTCCTGAACGAGGTTCATCTTTTGTTGTTGTACGGCCGCGTTTAAATTCATTTACCCTGTTATAAACAGTCTTAAACATAGGGGCAGACTTGCCATGAACGGCGTTCAACTCAACTGTGATTTCTTTTGGTGTAAGGCTTTTCCAATGAAAATGATCACCGCTCGAAACTCTGTTTTTTCCATTTTTCAAATAAACCAATAACTTTTTGTTCTACCAACGCTCACAAAAAAACGACTTAATGAATCGAGCTGAAACTTTGTACGATATCTAGTTAGTAGTATTGCTTGCCAAAAACATCATAATTTAAGCGTAGCGAGTGCCGTCTCTTGGATTTTGTAAAGACTTATTGACTCCCCCTCGTACACTAGCCATCTCCTCGTGGTTACTCCTAGGTAAAGCGAAGAGCGAGTTTCCATTTTTATAAGTACTATTTATTTCATAGAATAAATATTCCAACCGTATTTCTTCAAGAATGTAAAAGAGGATGGCTTTTAAAGGTTTATGGGGTAAATGTATTTCTTCAAGAATGTAAACGAGGACTGCTTTTAAAGGTTTATGGGATACGTGAGTAAATACTTGTAATGTAGAAGTAAATAAATTTATGAAAAACATGACACCAAACTCGCTGTCCCCAGGATTAGATAGGTTAATCTACTTGTGATTCGGGAGGGGTGGTTTTTAGAGGTTAGTAGGGTTAAGGAGTGGTTGGTTAGGTGTGTGAGCTCGCTTAAGTTGTGAAAGTAAATAAATTTATAAGAAAACAAGTTGTTAAACTCGCTCCTTAGAGTTAGGCGGGTTAGTTTTTGGTTTGATAGGAGTGGTTTTGAGTGGTAGTTTTCTCCCTTAAAAGTGCGTTAGATCCTCTAAAAAAAAGCACGGATCTAAATTTTTCAATGTTTAACTTGTATGTAAAGTTAATTTGGAGTGATACAGTTGAGTAGGATTACTTGTTAGTTAGACCCAGCCTTTTTCACACTGCAAATATGAACGTAGTTATAGGTATCGAAATCTCGATATCTCTTTGGATTGTATTTAATCTCATCTACTCCGAGATATATTATTAGATTAAATGGCAATCTAAAATCACCAAAACTATCAAAATATGTAACGTTGTTTTCGATTTTCCGATAAGCAATCCAGTGTATGCCTGTCTCTCAATGTCATCGAGATTAATTATATCGATAATGTGGCCCAGACTTTGGTAAGTTATTTCTCATAAACGCTTCTCAGAAATTTTCTGTACTTAAAATTTCGGGATATTCGGCATGGTTTTTTTCTTTTTAAAGATGATCCCGAGTAAGGTTTGAGATGCGGTCCATAGCCTTTTTTATATGGTGTAAGATACATACCCTTTGCATAATGCAATGGCCTTTATCGAAGATTTATTGAATTGAACCAAAAAGTAGGATGATTTTCTCGAAATATCACTACCCGATATTGGTAACAGGCGTACTGGTATGAATGTTTTTTATGAGCATAGACGTTTAGAGTTTTAATTTAATAAAAATTATGAGTATTAGTTCCACTCTCTTTAACATTAACATTTAACATTTAAATTTGAGACCTGGTCCCTAATTAAAAAATTAAAAACTCTACACATCTTCATAAATACAGAACAAAAAATCCATATGCTAGAGTTATTATACTATTATATTGTACAATTATTTAATTAGGCGACAGCTCTTAAATGAGGATGTAAACATCATGTAATGAAAATCATTCTAGATTACTAACATTGTCAAAATACATGTATAATACATAAATTTCAGTGAGTGTTAAGGAGGATCGTTGACCTACAATAATTCACTCGACACGGATTAAAAAACAAACTGTAACGGGGTGGTTATCTAACAAAATGAAAAATTTATTATCGTACAAACTCCCACGATGCAGAGCTAACCGCCGCTCCGTTAAACACGTATGGTTATACGTGTATTCACCTTTACGTTTGATACTTTCGTTTCATTGCCTTCTTTCCAACCGAATTGAACTCACCTTAAGTCACTTGACTTGTGACACTCGATGTATCTTAGGTGAGAGTGACCTAATGCTTAATCCGCCTAATCCCCTAGACGAAATCGGATTAAATTTAAGCCTTTATAGATCTATTAACTATTAGGAATCGAAATGACATAAACGGGAATAAAATTAATAAAGTTTAATTAATAAAAACGACAGTCTTTTATGGGCCAAAAGACTAACGCGCACGAAATAAAATTTACAATTATTGATAATAATTCATTGAGAGAGAGAGAGAGAGAGAGAGAATTCGAAATTTGCCGCGAAATCTAACGATCGACGCGAATACAAAAAAATAACGCTCGCGAAAGGCAAAATACTTTCGATAGTATTTTTTCGCGCAAATAAAGGGAGGTCACCTACCCCGCGGTGCAATTACGGTGATCAGCCGTAATTGTTGAAGGAAAACGTAGAAGGTGCTTCTTGGATCAGCTGCGTTGCCTCGTTGGTAATACTGCTGCTGCTTGAGATGCTGCTGCTGTAAATGCTGCTGCGGCTGCTTCCTTGCTACACTCACGTACGTATCGAAATCCCAGAAACTTTATAATAAATAACGGCGAAACACAGTGCAAACTAAATCGGCGGTACTTTCTCAAAATCAGCTGAGGCTTAACTGAATATTTAAACCCTCGCGCGCCCGCTCTCTCTCTCTCTTAGTCGTTCGAATTAACATCGCGAGTATACGAATCGCGAACGGATCGATTAATCGAATCGACTACCGTTGCAAAACTTACAATTAGAATTCGAAATATCCAAAAAGCGTGTTGCCGAATGTGTTATGCGAATATTTATCACAGAAAGGAAGAGAAAGAGAAAATCACTAAAGCGTGACTACTTTTTTCAGAAGGCTTGCGTGTTACTCGTTTAATGCGTACTAACTGCTCTTCTTTGGTCTTTACTGTTATAATTATTTACAAAAAATCTTTTAAATGGTTAGTAACATCGTTAATAAGCTTATTCACGCACAAAAAATAAATCTGTTTCAATTTAGATCTATTTAGATCAAGTTAGATCTATCTAGATCAAGTTAGAATATTAATCAATATAATAATTTTTTTTTTCTGCAATAGTCAAATATTTTTTCTATTTTAGGCTTACCCAAGTGATGAAAAGTATATATCAAAAGTTCAGAGCATAGTTATACGTCATTTCTACCTTTTATTAGGATATGATCAAACAGAAAAACATTTCTTCCTGGCGCCGCAGAAAGTCAGGTAATGTATTATTTTAATTGATGAAACAAATATAGAATAGAATTTTTTTAGTTATTTGATGAGAGCGAGCGTTGCGTTTGCTCTCGCTCAGTATTTTTCCTCTTTCCCCTCTCTCGGCGGGGCACAGTGGCTAGCGTTGGGCGCATTTAGAATGCGCCTAATACGTGGCCTTTTTTTCAGCCGACGGAGATGGCCGAGCAAGGTCGAGCAAGGCCGAGCAAGGTCGTGCAAGGCCGAGTAAGACTGAGCCAGCCCGACGCTGCTGGAGTGGACGACGCTAAGTGTTAGAAAAAGAGAGAGAAAGGGGGCGTATATGCCCCACGCAGGTATAGGCAGACGCGCAACGCGTAACCAATTAGCACCTGAGTCGCGCGCCGCCTAATAAGTAGATAAAGTGGGGAAAAAGAAAAAAGTAGAAGAAAGCTGTCGATTGCTGTGAAGCGTGCGGACAGTACAGTACGCCAACCCTAAGGAGCAAGGAGCTAACTTTCTGAAGCTACTTTGGGACAGAGACGAAAGTAAAGACACCAAGAAAATTGCCAGTGACCTTTACCAACACCTTTGCCAGAAACACTCCCGGCAAAGATGTCGGCTAGGCATTGGCCCCATCACCATTCGCTGAGTGCAGCCAGGCCTTCCCAACATTCGACACAGTCAACAAGGTCAAGGCTACTTTTATTCTTTCTTTTTCTCCGTCTCTTTGGCGTTACGGCGTTTGTGCCAAGATCAGGTAGATATCAAGGCGTTAGCGTGCCGGCTACCTGCTGGTAATTGCAAGGCCAGCCTATTAGATTAAGATAGCGATCCGTTTAGGCGATCTTTTGGTGGGCGGTTTCGCCTAGCGTAGTTAGGCTAAGTCGGTTCGTCGCCAAGGCGGTTATCTACCAGGCGATACGTTTCGTTCTTCGTTGATATTTTGTAAGCGCGAGTAATTTCAGTTTATTTGTCTTTTCATTTCTTTTTGTGTGTTTGTATATTGTAAGAATTCTGATGTGTTCATTAGTGCTTAAGGTTTGTACAATTTTGAGTTAATATAATTTTGATATATGTTTTTGATACGAGTATATGTTCTGCACACCATCAGTGACACCCTGAGCGCCACACACACTGCTGCTGACCACTGATAACACCCAGAGACACACACATAATACCCGGACACACATGCACCACACGACCGAGGGGGAGCGCTCCAGGAGGCGCTTCAGAGACCAACAACAGAGCACAAGGTTAACACGCGGGAGCGAGGGCGGCCATTTTGAAGAACAATATAGACTAAACGGAAGCGAACGAGATAGACTAAGCGGAAGCGAGCAAGACGAACTGGACTAGAGCGAGCGAAACAGACTAAACAAGAGCGAGCGAAACAAACTAGATGTGAGCAAGTGAACTAGAATAAATACCATACTAATTTGAACGCCAACGCGATGATGAGGGCGCTACGAAGATAAAACCGACACACAATTATTGTATCATTGCAAAATATCTAGCGGTGCGATTTAGAATATGAAACATACTAAAATAAATTAGAAAATACTGTATGCGGCCGCTACAATCACTTAATGATGCCCAGACCCGAGAGCAGCAGTTAATTTTTATTGCGCGTCTTCGAATTTCGGCCGAAGGTTCGAAGTCGAGCAGTGTATACGGTGACTATGATTCACATATCTCGTAAACGCGCATGTCTTGTCTCACGCGACCCATTTCCTCCATTATTTTGACTTTTAATGCCTTTTGTGACGTTTTTTACAGGCACAACGGATTAAAAGTAGGAAAAGAGGAATGGTGGTAGTACGAATGGGAAAAAAGAGTGATATAGAAAAGAATTGAAGATTTGGAGGATAGGAAGAAGACCAACTAGAATAAAATGTGAGAGGGAAAAAGGGAAGAAAAGAGTTAAAACGATCTTTTGGATTATAGCAGGAATAGAAAATATGGAAGAAGAGCGTAAGAAGGAAAATAGATTTGGAAGCAAATTTAGAGAAAAGAAAGCGACAGTTAAAAACTAAAGAGGATTTAAGTAAGCATTGAAAAGTATAAAAATAGAGCTGTAATTTATAGAAAGAAAAATAAAATAGATGGAGAGAAGAGAACAAATAAATGCGTTGTAAAAAGGGCTAGAGAAATAATGAAAAGAAAAGAAAAGAAATGGCAAAGAGAACAAAAGAATTAGAAAAGAAGAAAAGAATCATGGAATAAGCCTGTAAAAACTAAAAGGTAAATATGAGATTATTAGAAGAAGGATTTTTCCTTCTTCTAAGAAGAGAAAGACGAACGAAAAGACAAGTGCGAAAATATAAAAGAGAAAGATAGAAACTCAAGAGAAAAGCTCAAGCGAGAATGGAAGTAAGGAATGAAAGGATACCATATTATTTTTAAGAAAGGGTCTAAAATAGAAAGGGAGAGAAAGTGAAGAAATGGTCTAATAGAATAAATGAAGTATGTGCTGAATAAGAAATAAAAATGGATATTGAAGTGGATAATAGAAAGATGTTAATAAAAGGAGGAAATTATATAAGAGAAGGAGGAAGATATTGAAGGATATAGAAGAAAAAAGAGAAAAGAAGGATAAAAAAGAAGCAAACAGAAGTACGGAAGAGAAGTAAGCAAAATTATGCACACAAAAATACACGAACATACAAGCATACAGATAATACAGAGCACTCATACATTTACGCATAAACAAACAAAATCATAACTACTAGCAGGAAAACATAAAAAAAAGATAGGTTAACTAAACTTGTGGCGGGGAACTTCCGGGGGTCTCAGATGCGCCTACTCAGCAGGACGGTGTTTGTTCCCAAAAAGGATCGGAGCTCACTACCATCAGAGTTCCGTTCCATAAGTGTAGCCTCTGTTGTCGTTCGTCAGTTACATAAGATCATAGTGATGAGATTGATGAAAGCCAAGATCATCGACGAGCGATAAAGAGGCTTACATGATGGCTGCGCCGAGAACACTATGATTCTCGACACGGCATTGCACGTAGCGAAGACATCACTTCGCGAAATGCATGCCGTGTCACTCGATGTCGCGAAGGCATTTGACAGTGTCAGCCATCATGCCATTAAATTGGCAATGAGGGGACTAAGCATACCATCTAGCCTCGTCCGGTACATTGATAATATGTACCGGAAATGTGGAACAGTGCTCCAAGTGGCCGGACAATGTTCACAACCAATCGTGGTAAGGCGGGGTGTGAGACAAGGAGACCCCATGTCAAGCATCCTGTTTGCCATGGTTGTGGACAGAGTCATGAGGTCTCTACCCACTAACATCGGGTTCAAAGTCCACCAACATCGGACCAACGCTATGGCATACGCGAATGACATAGTGTTATTCGCATCCTCTAAGGCTGGGATGGAGACATTACTGAAGACTGCCAAGGAAGAGGCCCTCAAGTATGGCCTGCAATTCAATCCATCGAAGAGTCAGGCCATCTCCATCCAAATAGCGGGGAAAGCTAAGATTATAAAGTCATGAGCACACCGCTATTTAAGCTACAAGATGGACCCATTAAACAGCTCGGGTCCACAGAACACTTTAGATACCTAGACATTAACATCTCGCCATTAGGTATCAAAAAGCCGGATGGATATTTAGAGAGAGAAAGCTGAATAACATCTCTCGAGCTCCTCTCAAGCCTCAACAGCAACTTAAGATCCTTCGCTGCTTTCTCATTCCTCGCCTGTATCATAGTCTGGTGCTCTCACGAATCACTGCGAGGGTCTTGAAGGCGTTGGATAGGCAGGTGAGGATCGCAGTCCGTAGGTGGCTGCGCCTGTCCAAGAACACCCCGTTAGGGTACTTCCACGCCAAATGCAGGGATCGCGTATTAGGAGTCCCGGCCTTTGTAACATCTGTGCCGGGACTAATACATGCCCGAATACTGGCAATGGCCCATTCCACATCGCCTGCGGTACGGGACGCCACTCAACATCTTTATAACTTTAAGCTGGTCCGATGGGCTGAGGGGCTGCTCACATATAATGGGCAGTCACTCACGAGTCCAGAAGATCGGCGACGGTATTGGGCGTCCCGGCTCCATCAGTCCAACGATGGAAGCGAGTTGCGTGAGGCCGCTAATGTCACCTCGAGCAGCTATTGGGTAGACGCAGGTAGTGCGAGAGTCCCTGGTCGGGATTTTATCCAGTACCACAGGACACGAATAAACGCTCTGCTCTCCAGAATTAGAACATCTAGAGGACGCCGTGACGGAGGTGTTCCTGTGCTTTGTCGTCCGGACAAAGACCGGATGTCACGTGGCGGAGACTACGGCGCACATCGTGCAGGGATGCCACCGGACTCACGGTGGCCGAATTCTGAGGCATGATGCCATCTGTCGCATAGCTGCGACAGGGCTCAGGCAATGGGGGTGGCGCGTGTTCGTGAATCCGCACTACTGTCGTCCATCAGGGTTACAGAAACCCGATCATCGCAGTAAAGGATGAGAGCGTCAAAATCATCAATGCACAGGTGGTTAGCGGAGCAGCATCACTCGACGACGCACATAACACCAAGTGCAGGAAATATGATACCCTTCCGCTTAAACATCACATAGCTCGTGAGTTGGGGGTTGTGATCGAGAATATCTCGGTCACATCCATTACCCTCTCATGGAAGGGTATCTGGTTGTTGAGGTCCGCTAGCGACCTAACCTCCTTAGGGCTCCAAAAACTCTTGCCAGGCATTACAACAAGAGTCTCGCAGGGTTCACACATGAACTGGACACGGTGGAATAGTATGACTGGTGTCATCGGCCGTCCTGTCCCACGAGAAGGCTTAGGATAGGGCGATTGCGGTCAACACGTTTATGCGTTTGGGTAACCTAGACCCCACCACCTTAAGTCGGTACTAGGAAATAAAGCCGTGGCCTGCACTATCGACATCTTCAGTGCGGGTGACAGATGGAGTTTTAGTGGGTATTCCTTCATGGAGGAGAGTCCCACATACCAGCGTCAACATCTGCTCAGATGCGTAAACGCATTTCTACATCTATAAAA